GGCTATGTGGAGAATTGTATGTGGGCGTGAGTACGCAAAAGCCTGCTCGCTTATAGAGGGTGTACTACGAGTTGCACAATGGGAATTCCGCGATGATATTGCAAAATATGCAGCATATTTATAACGCTATTAGATCTTTATTTTTGATTTGAAAAAAGTTTGGATGCTAACACAGAGATAAAATATTTTCGAAATCAAGTCGACTTTGCGAAATATCTGAAATCGAACGCCACAAAATTTTGTATTTATTTTAATATCTAATGGAACGAATGTTTTAATATTGGACAAACCGATTACAGTAGTTGTATGTGCCAATGGACATTTTGTCCTTTTGTATACAGAAAACAATTTTATTACACGATGAAAGTTCAAAACGTGCTGAGCGCTGTGGACATTAATATTAGCTATATTTAATTGCAAACGCGACAGCACATTGTTTAACTATAATATTTTTCGTCATTTTTTTGAATTAAATCGTCTGAAGCGTTAAATAAATTCTCGAAATTTCAGATTTATCTTTGCGCCGTCATTGTAATTTCTGTTTTGTTATGATGGAGATGTAGAGTGATCAAACAAAGAGATACTGTTATTGAATACGTAAATATTTCCAAATCCCCGAGAAGTTTTGCAAATTAAATGTGAATTTTGCAGTATTTTCGCGTCCAGCTACTTGAGCTTTCGTCCGTGCGAAGTGCACAGCACAATGCTGATCCATTTGCTATGTTAAAATATGCAGACGATAGCCTTTGAAGTCACTTACCCGAGCACCCATTGTGGAAGCTTTGAGCCGAGTGTTCCGGATCGCTTCGCGTCCTGTGTATCTCAAGTTTCTTTGCAAAAGGTTAACCACTTCCGCCGGTGAGTTTTAATTGCGAGCTTCAATTGCGAACTGTTTCCAATTTAGTAAACCTCTATGAGGTAAAGTTATTCTGTCAGTCGCGCGTTAAAACGAATATCTTGCATTCTAAATTTCTTATTAAAACGTGCGCTTCGAAACCTCTAGCGCGTACTATGTTTTTCCTTTGAAGCAAAATAAGCACTTGTATTTTATGTTGAAAATTTATTTAATCCATTACAAAACTAAATCATATTTACCTGATAAAAAGTGATTTTAACACACTGCCGACCGATCTGGTGAATCTATCTTTGCGCGTGATTCGAAAGAAATTGTACAGCTGTGCCCGGCGCTTAGTTAGCGCTTGAGCGGTTGACAAAGTGCTGAGCTACTTTTCGACACTCATCCATCTCAGATGAAAAAATAATAGAGTGAACTGAATCTTTCTGAATACTTGTTTGAAAGTAGTTTCAGTTTTTAACGTCGAATGATGCACGACGTGTAAGTGAGCGAGATACGTAAGAAGTGACGAGTATTATATACCTTCTTGTAGTCGAAAAACATAATACGTGACATGAGAGGATTAACGAGCTGACGGCACGGTGAACGAAGTCGGGTTTACCATCGATCATAGGCAGAAGTCAGGCCGTCGTGGCGCCCCGGTCGACGGATGAGTCGACAATTTCGCTGTGTGTGGTCGTGATAAAACTGGTAGGTGGTTTTACTACCGTGTGTCTACGTATGTACAGTCACCGCAAATGACTAACCGCACACATGGAAGCGGGAGGTGCATTCGCGTGAGCGGTGTGCAAAGTCCGCTCAAGTACAATGTCTGTCCTACCCCCGCACGCGTTGTATTTATCCCGCTGTTCTCAGCACGCCCGTCACGTCCATAAGATTTCACTCTCCACTATGGATATACATATGTCCATCTAGAAACGCCATTTCACCACTTTCACGGCTTTGTGTACAACAGCGTGAAGCATGATATTAAGATCGAATGATACGATATCGTTTGAGATTATTGCGTCCGAGATTACGTCGTGGATTAACGCGAGCTTGACGAACGGGAGAGAACGGGATATTTCAAATTTATTCTATATTACATATACAACTTTTTACGTTATAAATTCCATCAACTGAAAACTGTGTCATATTCCCACGAGTTATAAACTAAAGTGTATACGTTAAAAACTTACGAAATAGACGTGTTTAACGTCCAAGTTTCTTGACTCGAGTGATGATATTTTCGAAGCCGTTGCGCACGAAAGAATCTAGCTACGCTTCTTTGGTTCCGAGTAAGAGGATTGACATGCACGAGAAATCGAAAAATGTCGAGAAAGCAGCCGAGCGTGTGCAAATCCTGGCGGATGCAAAAATTGCGAGGATGAAGAAGCTTGTTGCTAAAACTGCATAAGCAATCTAACCGGGGAATCCGGACGAACAGAGAACTGATGAAAAAAAAATAACACAGCGAGTGTTAACTAGAAAGAAATAAAAAAATGGAATACGACTTTTTACTTTTTTATACGACAAAAAAATCGATAAAAACAAGGAAAGAGAATAAAATTAAAATGGGCTTTAATATATACAATTTATACAATTCAGTAGTGATATTTTTGACTGCAAATTATAAATTAACAATTTCAATTATTAAAAAGAAATTAATGAATTTTTGTAAATCGTAACGCAAATCCTTAAATAGACCAGACACTTATTGCAACGCTCGTTTCGTACGCTTGTCAGTTTGCTACAGAAATTGCATAATCTTTGCCCCGCTATAGTTGGAATTACCGAGCTAGAAGATTGCCACAACGGGACCCATTCTACTTGGCGTCCGACGTGATCCCCGTCATGGTTGTCACTCATTGTTGGATTACATTTAGATCTCCAGCATTTTCAGCGACAATATTCCGTTAGTCTTTTGTGATATCTATAGTTAAAGAATTCAAATTGTCTCACAGTATATGTTTATATTATGAATAATACTTGACAAATATTATTTATAATAAAAACATTTTGTCAGAAAAAGTAAGTGTTCTCCATTGCTCATACTTTCTGTTATTTAAATTCAATATTGAAGAGTCGCGAGAAAGGAGTGAATTAAATTGATTGAAGCATCTGTAAATAAAAGCGAGTGTAATTGACGAGAGATATTAGGCACCTTGCAATTTTTAAATGAATTTAAGAATCGTCAATCCAAATAGTATATACTTAATGATAGCAAAACTTTTTATAGCCTATTAATGCGACAATTTGGCCGATTTATCGCTCGTAAACAAGTCGTGCAGATGCGAGCGCTACGTGATAAATCCTACGTGATTAAGTAACCAACGATGAGATTTATGTGGGGAATAGCATACAATGTGTGGATGGACAGACGGCACATAAATGCTGCAAATTTATCGAAGTAAATGTAAACATTATGAATTTGCTTATTATTGTATAGAATTTATTGCGGAGAAGTACATGTTTTCCTTTCTTATAGAAATATATTTATAGTATTAAAATCTATTGAAATATTGATATTAACTTTCCTACGAAAAATGTAATAATCAATAGTAAAAAAAGTAGCAAGATTAGCAATATATTTTTGAAGTATTTGAAGAAACTTACATGTAATTTGATATATTTAATCGGTTGCGTATATATTTTACCAATAAAACGAATTTTGCTGAACAGAAAGCATCTTTTATTTAAAGATAAGAAAACTCTAAACGTAAAAATTTAGAAACAATATTTTCATATAAATTGCTACATATTTGTAATTGATTTTTAGTAATTTTTATTTCGTACAACGTTTGTCATTTGCACTTTAATGATTCACGCTGTTGCTTCCACATTCATTTCATTTAATACTTTGTCGATATACTTGTTATCGCATGTATTTCTGCCGTTATAATTAAAATATTTCAATTTGACACTTGCCAGCTTTGAAACTTTCTAGCTGTATTTTAACTTGCCACTTGACTTGGCACACTTTGACGAATAATTGTTTGCGACGATCGACACGCGATGTTCCGCAATTAGCATGCATTTATCGTGTGGGGAAGAAAACTTTTCGACAACTTTTTTAATAAATTGCAGCAATATCTCCCTGAATTAACCACAATTATTTACGTAATTTTTTCCTATAATTTTCTGAGAAAGACGGGTGTAAAATGTTCATTAATCGAAGTGATTGATTAAAAATTTTTCTTCTGCGTAGAATTTAATTTTGTTTACGCAGATAAATAGAGCTTAATATTACGTTTTGTGCAAAACGTGTATTATTTTTTAATTTTAAATACGTATGTTTCATTATAGAATATAATAATTCAATAATTAAAAATTGAAAAGTTGAAGATAGAATAGAAAGATTAATAATTGAAGAGCTTTATGTTTTTTCCTAATTATATAAATTCATGAAGTAATCAGTTGCTCCGAATTAAAATTGAAATTTCACGGATTGCGTAAGAAGGACAAGTAATTGAGAGAATAGAGAAGAGAAGAGAGCAGTCTAGATTCGAACCACAGCAGCTTCTCCAATATTTCATTAAAATTATTTGGAAAACCTGCAATAAAAAAAGTCGATCGCGGTCTCTCACGGAGGCTGCTTTTATCGATAAATTGGTGTAGTGCGCTCGTTTTACTCCTTTTTTGCTCGCACTTTTATTTTTAGGTAGTGCTCGTTCACGGTACTTGCTGCTTGTCCCCAATAATATGTAACTATGTATCAGTCGCTATATTTTTAACCAAATGATTATAAAATTTATAGATCTCTACAGTGAACATTCATTTGCCTGAATTTGCCTGTTTTTACTCAATATGAATAGCTTCTTCAACATTTCACACATGTGTCTCTTACAATAGACAACTCTTTCTATTTTTTTAATATATAAAAATATAAAACGAGACACAGAAATGGTATTTGAGTTTATATATGGATAGATGTTATTTGTAATTTAATTTATTTAGCTTTTGCGATTTTCGAGGGAAAAATAATTAATGCTACTTTAGGTGATAAAAAGATTATATCTTTCTATTTTTTACTTACTTTTAATATACCTTGCGTTATTATAATTTGATAGCAATTTATATTTTATGAAAAGTCTTGCAGATAGAAAAATATTTTATAATTGTATAATGTTTGTTCCAATTAATATTTTATCCGTTATATTAATGATAGTGTAAATTTAAATTTTTAAAAATTTTTCGGATATTTCATTGTCTGTAATTATATAGGAAAAAGTCATGAAAAATTCCGGTCCTTCTTTTTATTAGATAGAGACTCAGGTCGGAAAAAGAGTTTTTTTCAACGTCGACTTTCTTTCTCTTAATCTCGTCCGCAGGAATGGAAAAGTAGCTTCGTCGGCAACTGGTCGAGGAGTCGGTCGCGTTACAGCATTAATCAAGACGCCGTAAAATAGCCCCGCGACGCCGGCAAAACGGAGATGTCCTAGGGGAGGATTAAAAAGCGGGAAAAATTTGTTATACTTTGCTAAAGCGCGCGCGTACAAGACTTGTTAGAATTCCACGTGAGAAGTTTTTCGTTTCTACTGTTCTTGCCGTACAACAGCTTCCTATCATTGTATGCAAATTCGCGTGTTATTTTTTTTTATTCCAAACAGCCCTTTTTATTTCCGCGCCGTTTCCCTCGATCGTTTCCCTCAATTGTCGGGGACCTTCTCTTCGAGATCTTTTAAAGCGTTTGCCACCGAACTTACTCGTTTTGCATTAAAGTTGATAAAGCAGCTGTTTGAGCACCGCTTAACTTCATTATTTCGTTCGAGTAATTCGTTTTCGTGGGCGTGCCGAAAGTGAAATGGAACAACGCCGTACCGTTATTTGTTGTAATTACCGCAAGATTTGCGAAAATAAAATGTGCGGTGACCTTTTACGGAATTATTCCATTTTCCAGAGGGATGCCTCTCTTGTTATGTCACAAGCGAGGCGGCGGTATCTATGCTGCTTCGGTGTTTATTTAAAGATATTTCTGGCGTTTCACGATATTTTTACGCGAATTCGCTATCGGATCGCGCGAATTGTACCTAGTGATACAAGCATATCTCCATGAAATAACAAACTATGGCTATTTGGCGTATTACCTATGCGAACGTGACTATAATTCACGATGATATATATCGCGTATGTATGTATTTATTTATTTACTTCAGCTTTATGCCCAGAAAGGAGTTTGCGTATGTATTGCTTGTTTGAATTCATATATGCAAAGTGGACTACGAGCTATGTATATACTTATTTTCTATCAACGTTTATCGATAGCATAGGAATAAATTTAGCATGTAATAGAACAGTAATTATCAGTCTTATTGTTAATTTAACTCGCATTTTATATGACTGAGAAAAAGTGCAACATTGTTGCAGCATCCTATGCATAATATTTTTAATGAATCTGCTATGACAAAGCGACGTCAAATTTTACAGACACTCAAAAAACTCATTTCTTAAAAAAAAATGATAAAAATAATTTTGGCTTTTTGTTTTTCTAATTTACACAAATTAAACTTACTACTACATACAACAATAATGATTTGATGATTTTTAAAAGTTTGTATTTTTTTATATAAACTAAACATTCATTTTTATTTGTTGTTATTCGCTGTTTTCACGTTTTCGAAATAACTAATTCAATGAATGTCAATGAATCATTCAATTGTTTTTACATACCGACAGAGAGTGCAGTTTCCCGTAAAGTGTAATTTAGTCCTTCGGCGATTGATTTGGTTCTTCTACCTGAAAAACGAACGATAGCAAATCAATATTTACATTACATTTGCGTTCATACGAATAAAAAACATACATATTTTGTCGAAAAAATAAAATATTTGTATACAACACTCTTGTTGCTTTATACAGTTGCTTCTCTTCAATTTCCTTTATTGATACGAGTACGATTTTTATGGGCAATATGTTTATTTTGTAATAAATCATGACGCGTTTAAGATGGTTGCAAATTGTTCGCAGAAATGAAAGTATTGAATTGCAGCTAACATAAATCGTGAATTTGTATCGTAAAGTCAAGTTGTTTGGAAGATTAAAGCGTGTACTAATGTGCTTAATATATTGAGAACTCTTCACGAATAGCAGAATCTGTTATCTCTTTACATTGTATATGAATAATTATTTCATAGTGCACGATTGTTTTCAGCATAATATAACACAGTAAATGTCTGCAAATTTCGCCGGAATGCGTTGGAGGCGGACTATACGTTCGGGAAGTAGGATAACTCCTATTACACAGTAATAGTATCATCAAACGATTACACTGTAATAGTATCATCGTTTACTCTTTACGCCATACGTAAACTCAACTCCTCTCTTTAAATTCCGCAGAGCGATCGAGAAGCTTTCATTACACTTGCGTATGCTTTTGTAGTTGCAAGATCACAATATCGATGTGTGATATGCTTGGATAAGATCTCATGAAATCTTATGAAGAGCACATATTCTAAAGTTGATGTACCTTTTTGCATTTCATATCCAACGAATGGAAAAATGATATTAGAATATTCTAAAGCTTGCGGTAGTTTTTACCAACATTGCATATAAAGAGCTTGAAAATAGCAAATGTGGCTATAAAACTTTATTCTTTTTTTATCATTAATTTATTAGATATTAAATATATTTTTCTCTCTGATAAAAATACCAGATTTTGAACTTTTATTCTTTTTACATAATTTCTCGCGATTTATCTTAATTTTGCTCTAGAAAAAATAAAAATGTATATATTATTAAATTGTTTAATATATTAATGCACAATTTATTTTTGTCAGTAAGCATTTTTAATATATCTGATATATTAGAAAAGTTGCTATATTAAGCAATCTGTTTTAAAATCGTCAAATATTCCATGAAATCTAAATATTAGAAAATAAAATAAAAAATTTTTTTATGTAAAAGAATTAATTACAGAATTATCAAATATAAAGTTAAATTTTCGAAAAAACCTTTAATATAGTAGTTATATTTGTAATATTCGGTATAATAGCGCTATTGGTTAAAAAATATGCAGCTTTTTCCATCAAAAAATGTTTTAAATTTGACCGAATCAACCGTAATTTCCTGCGAGCATATTTTCTGGGAATGAGGCTTGTAGTGCAGCTAGCCTGAGTAGCATCGCTAGTGCAACTGAGTGGATAAGTGCATTCATTCAATGCGTATGTCGGGGGAAAAGCGGTCGTTAGTAAAAATGGGTCTCGCCGCTATCGGCGATATATCATTTTTTATTTCTATTTCTGTTTCTCTTCCACGTTGTGGTGGAAAAAAAAAGCAAAATAGCAAAACGAGGAAATAAATGACGCCTTGTTTCTTTACATAACTCAAATACTTTTAGAGGAAATCGCGCTATGGAAGATATAAAGTGCAGAATGGTATTTTGTAATATCTGTAATGTTTGATTTCTAACACTGCAACAACGAAACATTAAGATGTACGGTTGCCGTTACGAATAAGGAGGAGAACTATATATTTGTGGATCGAAGATTTCGAAATGGGAAGAAATTGTGGAAATAAATTGGAGAAAAAGACGTTGATAAATCGTAACCAGTAATTCAATGGCAACTGGAGAAATACTGTCGCTAAGAGCAGAAAAGAAAGCACACGCGGAAACATAGTCGATTTCCATGTAGTTGATTTAAGGAATCCAGTGCGGCAAAGGAAACAAGCGGCAATCAAAAGAAATGTACGCCATGCGCCATCGTTGCATGATGTATATTTCCAATTTGGGAGGAGTTTATTTAATATGGCGACACTCGCCGACTATCTGTGCAACGCTTGTCGACGAACCGGTAAAAAGATCGAGAGAGAAAGAAAAAGGAATACTTTTGTACGTAAAAGTGAGTTTTACCACCGGTGGCGATATTGCTTTTTCTCGAGCGTCGAGAGAGAAAACGACAAAGTCGACAGAGAGGGTAGCGCGGAGGTGGACGCGCAAGAGGTGGTGTTATAAGTTGCTCGGGTAACGCGAGGACTTTATTATTACGCCGAAAATTCCCGAGTTCGATCAAGCGCATAATGCGTGCCATACCATCCGATTGAAAATATTAAAAATCATTACGACACTCCCTTCGCGAAAAACGTGTCTCGCGCCTCCTTCGATCAACTTTTTGCTTCTACTTGGCGAATTTTTCCTCCGCTCCACGCTCTTCAGTAGATTATTCTAATATTAATTTTAATTAATTTCGGAGCACGATAGCGACGAAGGATGAGATCTTGCTGCAGACAGCACTACGTTTTTCGGGATACATTATTAACGCATCTTGGGACAGAAAGGTTAATGTATAAATGTAATGATATCCAAGAGAGTATTGATCGGAACAAGATCTCGTTTTTTTGTTGCTGCAAATTTCTCTCGCCGGGAATTATCATAGGAACGATAACGATGGTATGACATATGCGCACACACAGACACACACGTTTGACGAGTTTGCGTAAATGAAGTAACGTTATGTCAGATTGCCGTGGTTGTTCGTAATTTAGTAGAATTTGCTGTCGGACCGAGCAAAAGGACGGGGAGAGAACCCTTATATAGGTAATAATTTCCGGATTTACAGATATATACGAAATTTCGTGTATTACTCATACTGCTCTCCAATTAAACGAACGTTTCCATAGCGTCGCATAAATCAAGATTAATTTACGTGGGTAAAAGCGAGAACGGTGTTAATATTACTAATAAGAAAAATATAATCCGGGATACAGAAATAGACGATGTTTGAGTTTCGCGATAGTGGACATGCGTTCATTGTTAGCGAAACTAATGCTTTCTATATTTGTAGAATGGGAAAAGAGAGAAAAGTGAACGAGAGGCGGTCGGGTCGAAATGAAGGAGAGTAAACGAAGCGGAGGACTGTGTAGTTATCTAAAGTTGGTTGTAATTACAAAGGATGGTGAGAGTGGTGGCATGGCAAGCACTGTAGAACCTCTTGAGAGAGGTGCATGTAATATTTCAAGTGTACACAAGTTTAAGTCAACATTCTCAAAATCGCGAATGTGGGGCACGACATGGTGGATATTATAATATTTTCAATGGCATATGAGCACGTATAGATGGAGGTTATAGGTTTTTGAGAATGAAAATTAGCTTCCGAGAATAGAACAGAAATTTCCAATTCTACATTGTTTTACTATATCGAATTTTCGAATTATCGAATTTATTATACGAATCGTATAAAATCTTAGCATTTCAGATTACATCGGCATGCTATACTCCAGAATTTTAATAACGAACAGTTAAATAATGTGGTGATTTGATCATTTTAATTTTAATTCTTCGAAGCTATAGAAATATGTGGATACATGTAAGCAGTTTATTTCATTTTTGTATACTGAAACTATTATTTTCTAATCATGTGCGAATTAATAAACTTTATTTAACTATTGCGTGGAGATAATAATGAAAGCAGAATGAAAATAAGTTACAAAGTTCAGAATAAAATTGTCGTATCGAAATTTGATCATATTTGTAAAAATTATGTAATTTCGAACAAGCAACAAGTGATAATTGATAAATAATAACTGGAACAAAATTTTACATTTTGTTGCAGGATTATTTGATTGCGATATAAGCTCTTATAGCGAATTTTTGTTTACATGCACATTATCTTTCGTAATTTGAAAAATCAAAATATTAAATTTTTATAATTCTAGAAATGGAGAATATTCCGGCCACCTGCGTGTATTCATTCAAATTGTGAATTTCTTATAAATTATGCAGTAGCATAATCGATTAACAAATTGTATAAATTAATTGAATATTATATTGAATTGGCTACATTGCAAACAACTGAATTAATGAAAGAATTATAAATGCTAACAAATTAAATAAGAGTGTAAGTCACTGATATTATTACACAGTGGAGACTTACATTAAGTAAAAATTAAATTGAGTTTCAAAGTAATCAACTTGCTTATTGATTATTTAACAAGATATTTCCTGAGCGTGCTTTGCGAACGAAAAACTACGGAAACCAGAAATTAAAGCAGCAAGTTTTCAAGCAGCTCTGATGGAATTCGCGTATTCGGACGATTTAAGCTAATTGGAAGATACGACTAAACACACAATACAAATGGTGCTATTGTTTTAAAAAATAACTGGAGCACTTCTTTTGGGACGGTAAATTTTCCGCATTTGTTGGCGCAGACCATGCATCTTCGCACTTTGCCAATTTTAAAATCTACAGTAAAAACTGAAATTTATGCACAATTACACTTTAATAATTCAGTCAAGGTTTGCTTTCGTAGCGACAGTATATTTGTTTGCAAATGCGTTTTTGACATCGAAATTGAGAAACGTAGATTCACGTTATCGTTTGTTGCGTGTGATCGAAATGATAATATAAATATTGAAATATAAGTTCACACGCTCAAAGCTGGAAACTAATTACAGAAAGGAACTTTTGACCGGATTCGTAACAGCGTTACATGTGTCACGACTGATTAAGAGAACGGATATTCCAGGAAATAAATAAAGATAAGATTTGCATTCTGATCTAGCTGATAAGGTAACTAATTCACGAGTTATTCTGAAATAGCTTGAAAACGAAGTTTCCAAGAATATTAAGGATTACACTACTTTTTTATTCATGAAAAAAAAAACAACTACGACGTAGCAAAATTTCCCGTGCAATTCTTGGGTGATTTAAGAGATTCCAACAAGATTTAGCACGATTATATTTTAGAGCTCAGGCGCGCTGGTAATTTCCACATCGTTAGTATCACTGCAAGTTAAGAGA